TTTTTTTTAAAGATTTATTTATTTGTGTATACAGAAGCTTTAGCTTCTCAGTGCTGTGCTTTAACCCGCTGCGCCACCAGGGAGGGCCGAGAATTTTTTAAAATAAGATCAATTTTAACATTAATGAGAAAAAGGCAAAGCCTATCCTCAGATATTTACATAATGGAGAGAGAAAAGAAACAAGCTTTTTTAAAATTAGCTCATCTAACATATTATCCCACAAACATTAACAATATAACAAGTGTTTCTGTGTAGTCATTTTTGTTATAATTCATAAATACACTAGAAACTGACATCTCTCTAATGAGAACATCTAGGTTCTCATGGGCTTCTGCTTTCTTCAGTTATATAATGTGAAAATCCAGTTTTCTTGAGAATGGTTTAAAAAAAAAAAAAAACCACCAAGTAATATCTTAGCATCGCTATGACAAATTTTCACACTACTGGCACTCTGGAAAACTCCCAGAACAAAGGGCCATACAATTTTAACAGATCTGCCCATATTTAGTGTCTTCTAAAATTCCATCGAAATTTCAACATGGCCAACAGAACATTCTATTACTCTACATGCTAAGGTGCAACTATAGAACTTTATAGAATAATGTGCATTTTCAGTTACTTTCCCCCTTGGTTTATTGCTGAAGGGCAGTTTTAAAAAGGAGTCAAATATGCCTGAACTTTCAAAACAACAATATAACATGTTTTAAAGCAGAAGCTGGACAACCTTTGCCAAAGCCAAATGAAATAAGCCCACACATAAGGCTTATTAAAATTATAAATTACCAGGCCACATAGCCTAGAAATTCTGATTTAGTAAGCCTGAGATAATGTGTCTACAACTTGGAACTTTTCAAACCTCCTCCAGATGACTCTGCTCTTCATTAAGGGTTAGTAAATAATGGTATCAGAAATTATCTATTCAACCCAGGTCCCATCCGAATGTAAGACTTTATTGTACCTTCACGAGATACTCCCTGTAAGTCAAACATTTTAGTAAACACAGTAGAAATCCTAATAGTCCCGAACACTTAGCACTTTACCCTCTACAGTATCTCAATGGATTAGCAGAACAAGCTTATGACACTGCTTTATTGACTTATTTTAAAAGAGGAAATGGGATCAGAAGGGGTAAGTCACACTGTTAAGAAACAGTAGGAAAAAAAGAAAGAAACAGTAGGGTCAGGATTCAAATCCAGCAGTTCAACTCACCAAGCTGCATATAAAGTACTTACGCCAGTGTGGACCCAGCCCCACACACGCAGCTAAGGCAAGGTGAACAAAACACACTGAGAAAGCTACCTAATTAGATAATCAAACTTTTAGATCCTCAATGCACATTTAATAACTTCCAGAAAGATTATAGTTTACATTTTTTCAAATGAAAGCACACAAACTTGGAAGAAAATTTAAGCAAAATCAGATAAAAGAAGAAAAATAACCATTTTAACTATAGAAAAAACTTCATAAGATTAAATCCTGTGTTACCAAAAAAAAAAAAAACTGTTCAAGAAAGGGTTAAACCTGAAAATTAACATCTCTAGCATACAGAGTTTATACAATGTAAAATACAAAGTAGGCAAAGGGCTTGAAATCAACAAGTTAGAGAAACAGAACTCACCAAGATAGAAATGAGAAAACTTCAACACCCTGGTAATCAAAGGGCCTTGTTTCTGTCTGTAAATTAGAATACCCTCATCCTTAACAAAGTTATTGTAAAAATAAAACTTTTTAGTTATTAAAGTAGAGATGTATGGTAAAAGGAGATAAAGAATAGCTTTGATCTTGGTGTGAAAACAAGTATCCCATTTAGAGAGCGGCTGCTAGAGCAACGCTGAATTCCTTTTATGGTTCCATCTCTAATCATGTGTATGCCACAGGGATGTCACGCTCTGATCTCAAATCAAATAGTGTTAAAACTGTAACTACATACATATGTTACTTCTCCGCTATAAGTTTGTCCTCGGAGAGATTTTATTAGTCATAAAACAAACTCCTTACTGTTATTTTTTAAGAACAAAAGCCCTACATTCTAAGTTACTGTAACCGCATTAAAGTTAACCCGTGTGGACAGAACATCTTGAATTTGGTATGCTGACTTCCAGCCATGGGAGATCACAGATTCAAAGCACTGTGACACCATCAGCCAAACCTAGTTCCCCACAGAATTCAGTGCACATCCATGGCACTTCCTGACACTGCAAGATGAACTGAACACCTCCTGGCCATATTCTCTCTCTCTCTGGGACCATGTCAACTACTGCTTAGAACCCTCAGCACTGGACCACTCTTTATGTAAGCTGAGATATCTGAAATCAATTTACTTTTACTCCTGCCTTCCCAGCACTATATCACCATGCCTGAATACAATTCTCCTTCCCTCAGCCCTGAAGTTCCTAGACTATACTCCTCTCATCACTTATTGTACCTCATTTCTTTCTTGTCCTTCTTATCTTCCTACCATTCCTTGAAAGAACCACTTCCTGATTTCATCCTCCTATTTCTTCAACCTCAGGGAACATTTTCTAACTCCCTGATGCCAATTCTAAACCATTACTTTCACTTACATATAGAAACTCATTTGTGAAACTTCCCTCAACACTGCCTGATTTATTGTTTCTCCACCCTCAGACATTTTTAGTATCTATGCAACTTCCTTAAGTTCCATAAAAACCCCTTAAAAACCAAGGATTTCATCTCTCACTCACTCACTTCTCCCCAAGTAAAAACTCTAGATGGTTATCCAACCTCAGGAGGGGCAATGAGAGGAATTGGAAAAAAATTATAGTAGAGTTGATACGAGGGCTTAAGAAAAATAAAAACAAATGGGGAAAGTTATGGAAGAAACTAAAAAGAATGACAATGGGAGAAGGCTAGTGAAAGGATTTTATAAACACCGACAAGGGTGTAGTTAAGTTGGGAGACAAGCAATTCACCACAGTGGACAGTCACACAGCGGCTCAATGCCACAATCTAAAGTAGACTCATTTTTCCATTAAAAAAAAATTATTCTGGCATACATGCATTTTGTTAAAGTTAAAATATGTGCATGTTTTTGTTTAAATGCCTTTTCTGAGATGGTCTTTGGATACAGCACAATTTCTCACTGGCAGAAATACCTCAATTGATTCCAGTGCTCTAGATGAGATGCAAAATAAACCAAAGGAAATACTCTTATATTTTGTTGAAATATTTAAAATAATGTATAGTTCAAGTTTGATATAGTATACTGAATATGCTAGAAACAACCACTTCATGTTTTAAAACACTAAGCAGGACAGCATGCACAGAGACAACACTTACCAAATGACCTCAGGACAAGCCCCATAAGCTATATTACATTTGATTGTTTAAATCTTGGTTTTCGTATACTTTGCTTTCTTCTATGTTAACTAGCATAATGACAAAAGTGGAATTCTAACTTGTTCTGGAAAATTAAATCCATTCATTCACTCATTCACTCAACAAATATTTAGAGTAAGCACCTACTATGTGCCAGGAACTGGATTATGTGCTGGGAATACAATGGTGAGCAAAAACAAATAGGTTCCCTCCATCATGGAATTGACAGTCTAGTGGGAGAGAGACAATTTCATTATTAAATAAATGGATGAGCTACTACAGACTTGATACAGTAGCAACATTAAAGCAGAAAAAATGAAGATGAATCATTGCTTAAAAATAGGTTGTTTTCCTTATAATTCATAAATGGCTACTGACATTCATTTTGTGATTTCATTATAAAAAGTATCTTTGATGCTTTTGGAGAAAAATCACTTATGGGAAATCATTCAAATCTATTTTAAGAGGTGTTAATGGGGAGAAAAGAGCAAAACTGAAAAATATGTAGTTTTTTAGATCTGTATTTATATTTACTTTTACACCTCTCTACAGTACCTGAAACACTGCTATAGCATACAGGTTCCTTGAGAACAAGGCCATTTTCTATCTCCTTCAGCGCTGTATCCCCAGCACTTGTTAACAGTGCCTGCCATGTATCAGATGTACCTGATGTTTATGAATAAATGAACGAATGAAAAAGTTGGAGACTGAAACTGCTAAGGTGACATGAGAAGAGTTAAGTTTGGGCCAACCCACACTATGTCCACTAAGATTCAGTGAGTGTCAGGGCCCACAGAGCCACACATGCCAGCTGATCAGACTCGGAGCCCATCTGAAATGATCCCAAGCTCTCTAAGTGAGTTACCTCTAGCTAACCTAATAAGATCACCAGCCTGGGTTTTGTTACTAGTTTACAGGAAATTAGATGATATCATTTCTCACCTACTACTACACTAGCCTTCTAGCTGGTCTCCTGGTTTTAATTCAAGCTGCACGTGCAATTCACTCATGTCCACCATGCCAATGCTGCCCAGGAGCCAAAGGCACCTTTTCCCAGTCAATCCAGAACATTATCACCCACTTGCTCACAATCCTCCTATGACAGTTCCCCGCTGTGTTCAAAATAAAACCCAAGCTCTAGCTCCTTGACTTTCTCTCTAACTTTCTCTTTATCTTAACGCATTCTTGCCACCCTTCAAACACTCAGGGCAACTGCGATTTCTGTTGTGTTGCAGACAATTTTGCCTCCAATCTCCAAATCTCTAACCACCAACATACCTAGCTCTAAACAAGCAACTGGCTATTTCTCCAGCCTCTTTCTGCTTTGTTTTTATTTAAAGCAATGGCATTATATTACTTGTGTTTGTTTTTTATACTAGAATGTCAACCTCCAGAAGGCAGAGACTTTTTTATATCTCTATCCCTAGTTTCTACATACTAACTAGCACACACTAGAAACTAAATATGTAATAACTAATCAATTCAAACATGTCGCTCTTTTCCCATCTTCAAAGGTAACACATTGTGGAACAAACAAGTATGATCATATTATATATAAGAGCAATATACCAGTTCTCTAATGCTATGATTAGGTTATATGAATTAAACTTAAAAAAACAAAAATTCATTACTAAATAGAAATTAGAGCAGATTACTTCCAAGGGATATCAAAATGGTTGTAGTAAAAACAAGAGTGGTTAAAATAATATGACCCTAATATCTATGAAGAATATAGATAGAGAACATGAAGCTTCTTTTTAACATAACATGTAAAGAAACAGGTTTAAGACCAGTCCCACAGTGACAGTGGAATTCTGGAAAATGGGCATTTTCCAGATATTTAAAACGAACCAGGAAACAAAGTCGCTGAAGGCGAGAAACTATTAAATCTTTTTTTATTTCTATGCCCTACATAATTATCAGGGAAAAATTCAAAAACCAAAGATGTATTTCAAAACATACTTTAAAACACTAGCACTTTGGCCTCTCTGGGGCACAAGAGGTTAAGTCTCAGCATCACACAGCTGCCACTGCAGCAAGAGTTCAACCACCTTGGCTGGCCAGCCAAGGATCTATGGGCTAGGCCCAGCAGGCCTCTCCCGTCTCCTTACCCACTGCTCCCCTCAGCAGCGTGCTTCAGTCAACCCGCCTTGTTTGCGCCCCACTGTCTCTGGTGAATTATCCCACTGTCCTCCTTCATCCCCCCATCTCTGGCCTACACCCCAGCTCTTGTATGCATAAATAATCTTTTTAAAAAATAAAAATAACAGCATTAGCAAATAATAAGAAATACTTTGTTAAATACTGTTCTTGAAGTATACAAAATGAAGTGAAACTTTAGAGAAGTATGGAATATTCATTCTGCAATCAGTCTCATTTAATAAAGTATTTAAAAAGGCTACTATATATCCAATTATTCGACCTAAACACAAAAATTTCAGAAAACATTGAGCTATACTGGTAAAAATATCTTAGCTTTGACAAAGAAACATAAAGCCACTGTTACTTAACTACACAGAACCTGAAACACAGTAACTTGAGCTCTGTGTTTAGCATGAAAGTCAATTTAAATATTTTGAAGTATCACTACATACTTTAAAGATTACATTATGGAGTGTATATATCCCTCCGCCACACACACAAAATTCATATGTGAAACCTTAAGCCCCAAGTAATGCTTTCTGGAGTCTTTGTTGGGTAATTTAGGTCTTGAGGGCTGAGATTAGTGTCTTATAAGAAGAGACATAAGAGAGCTGACTTTTCTCTCTCTCTCCACCATGTAAGAGAACAGCTAAAAGGCCCTCATCATACACTGACTCTCCACAGACACCTGAACCTCAGACTTGTCAGTCTGCAGAACTAAATGGATATTATTTAAATCATCTAGTCTTATTTTTGTTATAGAAGCACAATCTAAAACAGAGCATATACAGTATATTCAAAGTGGTCAAAATAAATATACTATTAAATGAAAAGGGAACAGTATGTGTTCTATGAAAAGTTCATGTTTCTGATATTAAATGCTCCCAAAACATTAATAAAATTGCTGAGAAAGGATAACATGTTCAGTTACTCTATGCATAAACTTTCTACTAGGACAAAATGCTTAGTTTCAAACCATACAGACAAAAATAATAAAAAGCACCCAGTTCACAGTATAACAGAGTTGTATTTGGCTTTTTTAATTAAATTTTTTAACATCATTATTTTTAAACAGTTTTTGATTTCTCTCCTGAGGTGTAGTATTTGGCTTTCTTAAAAACAGGGGATATATACAGATCTGTAATCTAAGAACATAAACATGCTTAGCTTCCATCAGGAAAGACAAAAAACGTGTGCAATTAATTAACTGCTCTACATTTTGTATGTGAATAAAAAGAAAACATTCTTTAATGTGTCTTACATTTAAGAAAAACAGTCTATAATCATATTATGGTGTTTGATGAAACATGGTCTGGCCCAGGCTTATCTTAATTCAGTGGTAACAAACAGTGTCAAGTGGTTAAGAGCAGGACTGCCTATTGTATTTAATAAGGAACCTTAAAAATTGCTCAAATCCATTCTGTGGATATCTTTCTGCTGGATAAAGAACAAAACAAACTAAAACTATCACTCAAAATTTTTTCCATAATGTTTGAAATGCTTACATTAAATGAAACTCACAACTCTACATGTTACTTAAATAGCATTTCATTTTTTCTGAGGTAACATATACTACATTAGAGAGAACACTGGGCTTAGTCATCTGTGAAAAAGAAGTGTGGTAATTCACTTCTCAGTTACCTCAAGGAAAGTGAGGTAAAATGTCCTAAAGCTAAAATTTGCCATAAAAATTTAATGTAAAGTATTTTAAGAAAGAGGACAGTCAGGATTTATTAATCACCTTGTTTTTAAAGGTGTAGGTGGGAATTAGAATTACCTACTCAAAGTCAGAAGGTTTGATTGTCTCCTTCCTTTCCCTAGAATGTGACTCCTGTTAAGTTTTAGATTCCCCCCCCCCCACAGCTAAATGGGGGAAATAACACTCTCTTTATGCGAGGTTATTATAATGATCAAATGAGTTACTATATGTAAGTGTATTACAAAATTAACAAATGAAAGATCATGTATGAAAAAACCTTATTCTTGGTAAGAAAACCACACAAGCCATAAAATAGTTATTTCTCATTTCCTGACAGATAAAACTTGATCTTTGTACACCATATTTCAAACATAAATTACACCTCATATTAATTACTGTGTGAGTACCTCCCCACTAAAGTAGCATTTTCTGAAGACAAGAACATCATTTTTGGTCTGTTAATGACTACTATACTATCAGGCATCCAGAAGATGCTCAGTCAATACTTCCTGAATTGTAGTATGCTGTAATATTTAACCTTCCTCTTACATAAGCAATATAGTACAAAGTAGACCACTTACCATTTTCTTTCCGTAATCTTGTTATGAACTTCTTGGGAGGTATTACTCCAACCTTTTTCTTCTGAGTCGCTATGCTATGGAAGAGATCTGCTAAGCAGGTAAGAAGATTCTCCTTCTTCCTAGGTTGACTCTTGTATGCTAGAACTTTTTCCCGAAATGGACGACAAAAATAAAGTGCTTGAAGAACTGAATTGCAGTAGCACGTATTCCCAAACTGGAATAGAAAAAAAAAAGGGGGGGGGCGTTAAATTTAAGGCAACACATTTTCAAGAGAAAGAACTTCCATGTATATTGTGAGAGAGTAGAAAAGAGAAGATTTTTATGATTCTCATAAATTAAAAGGTATCTGAGTGTAGATCTTAACATTTAAATGGAGGCTTTAGGTATCAGTTTTAGGTTAAAATTACAAGAAAACCTTTGCAATAAATTTAGCCTTTATGAAAACTGATGCAAAGAACAATACAGCTTGAATAGTAAGATTACCTAAGATTTAGGATTCTGGATAATTTTGTTCTTTTTAAATTCTCTTTCTTATTAAAGTACTAGTACTTATTAAAGTACTAGTTATTAAAGTACTAGTTAGACACTGTAAAAAAGGAAGGGGAGGGAAACCTTCTGAAATGTTAAATTAAAAACATTAATGTGACAGCATTTCAATTATTACTAAAATTCTGAAATGCCAGATCACATTATTCTTGATCTTTTAGAAACACAGACTTCAGATACAGAATTAAAACCTAAATCAAGAGTCTCTTTCCTACTAGCCATGTGATCTGGCACTAAAAGCCTTTCCTCTAAGAGCAGAATAAGATAACAATGCCTACTCTCTCTTATTTTATTCAACACAGTATCAGAAGTTCTAGCTAGAGCAATACGACACGAATAGTAGTAAAAGGCATATAAATTGAATAGGAAGAAAAAAATATTACTACTTGTGACAAAATTTATATACAGAAAACCCTAAAAGAGCCCACCAAAAGCAATCAAGTGAATTCAGTAAAATCGAAAGATATACAACTAATGTATAAAAATCTGCAGCATTTGTATACACTTGACTATAAGAAAGAGAAACTAATTTTATTTATAATTGCATCAAAAGGAGTAAACCATCTAGGAATAAATATTAACCAAGAAGGCAAAAGACCTGTTCACAAAAAAATTACAATACACTATTGAAAGAAACTGGAAACACAAATAAATGAAAAGAAATTCCTTAAGGTTTAAAGGGATTGTTGGAACAAAGCAATCTACAGATTAAATTACTATCAAAAGTTCAGTCATTTTGCACAGGAACAGAACAATCCTAAAATTTGCATGGAACTACAAGAGCCTGAATAGCTAAATCAACCTTGAGAAAAAAAACAATGGAGGGAGGCATCATGCACCCTGACTTCCCACTATATTGCAAAGTTAAAATAATCAAAAGATATGGTATTGGCATAAAAGCAAACACAAAGATCAACAGAATGGAACAAAAGCCCAGAAATAAATCCATGTGCATGTGGTCAAGTAATTTATGACAAAAGGGTCAAGACAATGGGGAAAAGAGAAAAAGCAAAAAAAAAAACAAGGAGAACTACATCAAAGTAAGAGGCTTCTACACGGTAATCAACAAAATGAAAAGCCAACTTTGCAAATGGGTAAAGTATTTAATATTAATAAAAATATTAATATTTAAATGAGCACAATGAGACTGAGTACAGCCACCTGCAAACTGTGGGTTGTAGACTGAATATAGTGATGTGACACAGCCAGCTTCTGTTCAGTTACCTGGATATATGATTCTAATGAAAATCAAGGTTGTAAAAGATGTTTTCACAAAGATCCACATATAGGTCCAAGTGAAAAGTAAAGACAACCTTTACTTTTAAACTATGGTTTAAGATTTTGATCCTTTCTACCCTGTGTGAATTCATTTAGGAAAGATCTGCCTTGAGTGCAGCGCAGCATAAGCATATATTACCTAGAGCCACACTTTACAGTTCAAAATCCGGTTCACCTGTCTGACCTTGGGAAATTAGTGGATCAAGCCCCTCATCTATAAAATGGGGTTTGAGATGATAACCCTACCTGCTAGAATCATGTAAAGAACTGACTAATCCATATCAAACACTTAGGTAGTAAATAATCACCATAGTTATTTCTAAAACAATCTTTTAAAGTTATTCATTGAAGAAATCAGATTAGCTGAAATTAGATCAAATAATAATCTACACTTAAACAGTTTGCAATAGCATAAATGAATGAGAGAGGGTGATACTATCAACTTTCCCACTGTCAAACTTGAACCAACATGGGCCCATTTCACTCATTCAGAGTCTGGGTGCCAGTTTTATCCATTTAGTAAGAATGAGCAAAGTTTAATATGTCTTTTATTTTAGATTGACCACTAGAAATTCTAATATTTTCATCTCCTAAAACCCCAATGGGTTATCTTTCATATTTCATTCTGAGACTACAGATTTTAACCACCATTATGTCAACAATTTTGCCTTTTAAAAATGTTTCAAAATGCTTTAATAGCAGTCCCTTATGCTGGAGGTTGTGGTAGTGCCTTATCCGATGAACCTCCTCTCCCAAGAGAAGATCCTCCCCTGACCACAGTTTCTGATTAGTTTCACTGTACTCCACATTACCTATACCCACACCCTCACAACAGCATGCAAACCAATACAAAAGCATCCTTCCATTTTTCTCATGGACATCCATTCCTCACCCATGCCCTTACTCCACTGCTTCATGCTTCCTTACAGGAAATATCTTCTCTACTACACAAATTCCTTAGGGTAGTAATCACAATGCCTTTATATAAGTGGTAACCAAGTCAGAGATTACATGGGACAGTTATTTTGCCAGTTTTAATGTGAACATTCTCTGGCACTTCTAATAATGCAAACCTTAAGTAACCTTGACCATCAGGTTGAGAGAAAATACAACCACAAATGAAAAGCATCATTTTCATGTCTCTCCTCTATATGGTATGTGAATCCAGAATTTTAAGTAATGAATCTGGCAAAACATACTAAACAGTCTTTTATAAGATGCTCTAGGAACACAATACTAATTTTACAATGAAAATTGTGGGGCAGTGCACATTTAATAGTAGCCTCACAAATAGATTTATTGAGTCCAACATCCTATGTGCTGTGGTTCATTATATTATAAATTTAATATAGAGCCCCTCCCTGGTGGCGCAGCGGGTTAAAGCACAGCACTAAGAAGCTGGAGCCACTTCAGCATGAGTTCGATCCCAGCCCTGGGAAGGTGACCACATGATGCGGCAGACCACTCCTGACCTGTGCACTGCTCCCCTCAGCAGTGTACTTTGTCGATCTGCCTGTTCTGCTCTCCACTTTGTCTCTGGTGAAGCCTCTCACCACCCCTGCACCTCTGGCCTCTACCCCAGTTCTGTATGCATAAATAAATCTTTCAAAAAAAAAATAAATTTAATAAAGAACCACATAGGCTACTGAAAGAGTAAAGGCTACACACAAAAAAGTAAAGATACTACTAGTTTAATCACTCTCTACCATCAACTTTAACATTATAAGTACTTATTAGCTCAAGATATAAGGGGGAAAGGCAATCAAATTTATCAGATTAAAACAATTTGTTTTCAAAGAATTAAGCTGACTAACCAACTGACATGTAAGTAGGATATTTTACAGCAAGAGAAAGCTTCAAAAACCTCACTGCATGCTCAAGATGGTCTCTAATAACTACACCATGTTAGTGTGACTCTGATTTTTCTAACATCAAGAATATTAATGTGTCCACAGGAGATAAACCAATAGGCAATCCCCACTCTACATATTAAACAAATTATAGTAATGGACACTAAAATTATCATTCATTAAGAATAAATTGCCATAAAAGCTATCATTTGTGAAAATATTCTTCCAAGTTAAAAATATCTGCAATTGAAAATAACGGAAAATAGATTGCCATTAACAATACTGAGTCACCACTCTGTTGAATATCCTGTTAGATTAATTCAACTGTGGTTATTTTTCTTTTCTCCATTAAAAAAATTAAAGGCCTATTTTCTAGTCTCCTAAATATATGTACTATTACCAAAGACAAGTGCTATTGACTGTACCACTCAATGGCCAGAAAAAGGGTTTCAGTCAGGCAGGTCTAGTAAGAACTCGTTACAGTATATACTTTCTGTAATGGACCTGGAAATGCATACTTAGCTAAGAACAGATTGATGGGAATAAAAACAAAATCCAACTGTTAGAAAAGATTAACATAAAGTTTCTTTTAAAAACTTGCATTATTCATACATTTCAGTGTTGTTTACAACATTACTTGACAGACAGAGGGAAGGAGGAAAAAGTTAAAATCTTGACCTCTTAACTAAGCGACTTAACCCCACCCCAAAAAGCTCCCACCTTAATTTTTAACAGATTACTATACTGTGTTAACTCAACAAATAAACAAAGAGCTGAGGGAAACGGAACATAAGAGTGATGTTAATCTGAGTTGAACAACAGGACTTACAGAAAAGGTTAAAGGTACAGACTACAGTTTCAAAACAGCCTGAGAATATACATCACAGAAAAAGTTAATCACTGTACTAGTTCTGCTACATCTACTCTGAGCACCAGTTCTTTTATGAGTATAATTCCAGATGTTCAATCACCCAAAGTCCTGGTTACCTTAGAAATTGCAATTCTTTATCAAAATAACTAGGCGTAGAGACCAGAAACTGTTGTTTCTGTTAAATGAATCTTTAGATGGGACAGACAAAGCTTCCTCTGAAAGTCTCTTCCTAGCTTTTCTATCTCCTGCTTCTCTTGATTTTAATCTATTATTCAGCCTTAAGGAGAAGCACAAATACTATTCTCTTGATTTTAGACTGATCTGCCAAGAATAGTAAAAAATGGTATCTTCTTAGAAACCCGTTTTTTAAAACACAATTGATATATTTGGCTGACTGACAAATACTGAGTGACATCGGGGTTAAATTAAAATCAACATACAATAAACAAAATTTTTTAAGCTTTAGAAGTAATATATGATTTTTATCTTTGATGATTTTTTATAATTTCTTCAGAAGTTAGCTACAAAAAAAAAACGCACAAAAAAAAAGAGACTGAAATACTTATACTGGAGGTTAAAGGTTCTAATAATTCAAAAAAATATTTTTGTTTTAAAGAAAATAAGCTCTCTGGGACACCATCCAGTAGGCAAAACTTTACTAAAGACACATATTAACCATGGGAATTCTGCACCTAAGAAGTGTGGCAGCCACAGAAAGCAATAATGAAACTGAAGAAACAGGTTTTGCCATATTCAGAATTTAAATGAGGTCTTTGATCCTAAACATTCTGTATGTAAATAAGACTATTTTAGATATTAAGAGTACAAAGAGCTCATTAAGCAAGAGAAAACTGAATATATTCATTTAACTCAATTCCCCATGAAACCTCAATAAAATGACAATGAAAAAACAGATTACAGATAAACTCCAAAGGCCAAAGAGGACAGCCACCGACTTGGGTCACAGCAACTTTATGGAAGAGGACAGACAGAGAAAAAGAACAAAGCCAGTGTGCCTGTGGGGGACAGGTAACTGACAGAGACACTGACTCACCTCTGAAGGCTCTGGATTTTTGTTTGCTTTTGAGGTCAGGGTGGAGAAGAGAACATCTAAAAACACAAGTCTGATAATAAATCTTTGAAAGGACCCAAGGCACTTAACTTGTCTTTGTTTCCTATCACTGAAGTTCAACAAGACTGAGACAGCAGTGAGGCACTCACAGCAGTGAGTCCACCAGAAAGTAAAGAGCCCAGAGAAAAGATTACAACTACTGTATGCTTGCTGCCCTTTTTAAAAGGCCTGGTTAGCCAAGGGGACCAACCTTTAAGTGAAACCTATGGCAGACAAGCTTCTCCCATAAACATAAAAGCCCTCATCAGTTTTTAGACCTTCACTTTTATTTATGAATGAAATTAAGGAAGTTTCTACTAGAACAAAAAAAATTTAAAGCTGAGAAGAGAAATAACTTAAATCATAGTAGCAATCCAGTAAATACAAGGAAATCTCAGAACAATAAAATTATGACTAATATTTACTGGGAAAAGAAACAGCAAACACTATTGCCTCCATGAAACAAAATCAAACAATAGAAGTATAATGAAACAAAAGGTGCACTGAGCTGGACAAAAAAAAATTGAACAATCTAAAATGTAGACTAAAAAGGCACAAGCTAAAAGTAGGAGAACAGACAAATCAGTCTAAGCATTTCAAAGTACAACTAATAATGTCTCCAAAAAAAAAAAAAAAACAGAATAGAGAAATCATTTTGATAGGAAGGAAATTATCCAAATAACGGCATCAAATATGTTCAAGAACTGAAAGAAATGAATCATCAATATGAATAAATCATAAAGCCCAAATTAATAGCAAAGGGAGATTAAGCCACGTTATGAATTTCAGGATACTGTTGAGAGAATATCCTAAATTTTCCCCAGTTTTTTGTTTTTCTTTGTTTTGTTTTTAAAGATGGCAGAGAGGAGGCACATACAGATCCAGAGCTCAAGAATCAGCACTGGGGCCGCCCTGGTGGCACAGGTGTTAAGTCTCTGAGCTGTCATCTCTATAATCTGGGTGTGACTCCCCAGCCAGGGGGCTAACCCACATACACAGTGCAGCAGACCTCACCTGTCTCACCTGGCGCTCCCTAAGCAATGTATTTCAGTAGATTTGCCTGTTCTGCTCCCCACTCTTTTCTCTAGTGAAACCTCTCACCCCCACACCTCTGGCCTACACCTTAATTCTTGTATGCACATATAAACATAAAAAAAAAAATCAGAACTGTCTAAGTCCTTTCAACAACACAAGCAACTGAAGGAATGCTAGACTAGGTATCTAGTCATAACATTACCAGAACATTCTTTTAATTTCATTTTGTCGTAGAAGAACTGGGGTGTAGCCAAAGGTACAGAGCAGAACAGGCAGATGCACTGAAACACACTGCTGGGGGAGCAGTGGCTGCGGCAGGGGCCCGCTGCGCCAGGTAACGGGCTGGCGCCTTGGCGGGGCAGCGCTCGGGCAGCCGCAGGGCGTCGCCACAGGCCAGCAGGGAGGCCCACGCCAGGTTCCCAGAGTTCACCCCTCACGCACGCTTCCTGGAGAAATAATAGAATGTGCTCCATAAAGCCAAGGGGAAAACCACGTAAGCACACAGCGCCTAGAGAAAGACAGATGCCAAAGGGACGTTCGAGGTGTGTGAAGAGGCGCAGGGACGGGGAAGAGGAGCCAAGGGGATGACACTGCGGAAACTGACAGTGCGAGGCTTGCCTTAGGTGTTTTCGTTTTTCCTTTTTTTAAGGACTGCTGAAGATTTTGGGGAAGAACAAATTAAAACGAAGGACACAGAAAAACAGAAATGATTGTCCATATTGGAAAAATGGAGGCAAGTGAAACTGGGGGGAAGTCAGACAGGGATGGTGGTTGGAGATCTAAATTTCTTATTTACCATGACAGACTCTTGGCAGGTTTATTTTTAATAGCATTATAGCATTTTATAAGAGCAATTTCCAGAAAAGAACGCCAGGGTAGCAATAATGTAGTCTTCTCTACATTCGGGGAAGAGAAGAACAGGGCAACCTGCTGATTCTCTATTATAAGTGTAGTTTACTTACAGAGAAGATTCCCAAGCTAAGGAAACAGACACACCACTCTAACTGCTTTCCTCAAATCGTGTAAGAAATCTCACACAACGCAATTACACACTTATACTTAGTGACACAAGTTGTTCAATAGCATATACAAATGTTATCACCACTATGCACATTATCACCACTATGTACATTTTAAGCCACTCGTCATGGATCTAGCTTAGCAATACAGTACAAAAGCATAAAGCTAAACTACCATGATAAAGAAAATTTTCCAAAGCTTTAATAATGCGTAATTATTAAATTAATTACTATCATTAATTTATAGTACTTTCATAACGTTGTCACAATCAGATTGAGATGTACGTGTGTGTGTGTAATGTTTTATACTCTTTTATCTCTACTACCAGAAAAAATGTGAAGTAAATTGTGAAGGATCCTCAAGACACAAGGCGGCAGTAACATAACTGTACTTCTAGCTGTACACCTGGAAAACTTATATTTAGACACTTAAAATAATTTTCAGAGAGTAGAGGCTATGTGGTACATGCCATGTGAAATTCAGATTACGAGAAAATGCTGAGACAAAATAGAAAAAAAAGCAAGCTGACAAGTTAGAAACTATGCTGAGTCTCTTAAGACTTCAGACAATTTTGTTTCTACTAAGGATAATTTTAAAATACCAAATGAAAGTTTTCCAGCATTAAGTCTACTGGTACAAATAAACAACTTCCCTTTTGGTTATGAAATGCATTCATCATCTTTAAAACTCCTTTCAACCTTAACTCTGACAGCCAAGTATCAGCATATACTTACATTGACTAATCCAAAATAGTGCTCATTGACTGGAAACTGTTCTGGACCAATCTCTTTCTCTAATGCCGAGGCATTGGCGCCCTGTGAAATGAAAAACAAAAATCTGAGTATTTATAGTACTTTTATAGTGGTGTCACAATCATACAGGCACTACAGAGACACTCTCTAAAAAACTTCTAAATAACACATTTAAAGAAAATAAAGGTTAATAATAACAAACTTAATAAAAACTAAAAGTGATTAAAAATTAGTTTGCAGGAACTCTGTATATCAAAAAATTATATTCATAATTTGTTTCCTGTCTTCTAAATAATAAATTAAAGCCCTTTCTTTATCATATACTTTCAATAGGAATATATTCTGATAGCAGTCATCTCAAACAACTGAAATGTT